TTTTTTTCAAGTATGTGCCGAAAACTTTGCTTCCCGTTTATAGAGATGTAGTGGTACCTCTAGCCAATGTCTTGACGCCAAATGCTTTTGAGTTAGGGTATGTTGATATTAAATTATGAATGGTAAGGTAATTCATTCTCTTCAGTGAATTGGTTGGATTCACTATATTTAACGAGAAAGATTGCATACGTGGCATGGATGCAATTCACAGGATGGGCGTTGAGACTGTTGTAGTCACTAGTGGAGTGGAAGAAAGTCAAACACCTGACACATTGTGTTGTTATGCAAGCAAAAAAGGTGTGCTTTTCTCCCTCCTTTACTATCATAATTAAAGACTAAGCAAAGAGTACTAGTGACAATTGCTTATATCTTGCGATAGCTATCCATTTGTTGGCGGTAACTTCGTTTCAAATATTATAACGGCGAAAAAATTTTCAGATGCCTCTGAAATCACGCGCCGATATCGATTTCGCTTTCCAAGGATACCAGGACAGTTTGTTGGTACTGGTGATGTCTTTGACTCCTTATTAATTGCGTGGCTGGATCATTGCAAAAATGATGTTTGTGATGCAGTTGGTCATGTTTTGGGATCTATGCAAGGACTTTTGCGAAAAACTAGCCACTACGCTCAAGGTATGCTGACACGGCATCTGATTTGAGCTTTCATTTTAGAAGAGAAGCATTGCATGTTCATCCAAAAGAACCATCTATCAAAAATTACTCTCCCCTTTCTGCCAGAATTTAACCTTGGCTGTAGATTTAAACAAGCAAACCATCTTCGAAGTCCTGATGATCAAATATGAAAATCTTACCGTTCTAACTGATTATATCCGTGTGCGCATCCGAACACCTCTAAATCACAGCGATCAGATGGGACTGGCGCGAGTCGCACTACCGTGGCGGGCCATTTTCTAAGAGTTAACACGAGAAGGATAGTTGTCCATATAGAACGGTTTTTTGAAAATCAAAGGGTTTTCGTGATCCCGTTCACGTTCGCAAACAATCGACGCTAAACATTCATTAAAAATGAAGCTATGTTAATGCGGCATGTCGATTATTTGTGAATGGATCCAGATCCACGGGTCCGTGCTCTCCGTTGTGAATACGACTATATTCTTGTGGTAAGCGATCTATACCACGGTTATTTCTGATTTCCGATTTTTTTTTCAAAGATAGTGCGTGGTGTATGGAACGTTCACTCAATTTTTGCTAGCTTTCAATGACCTCAAATATATCTGTATAAATGTTTCTCAATAAATTGTTTTCAGCACAGGTTGACAAAAACTCGAGGAAGATGTGCGAACTCCGATTGGTAGAGTCAAGACTTGAACTATTGATACCGGAGAAGGTTTTCCAGGGCGAAGTGTTATAACAGTGAAAAATAGTTAGATAAGTAGACCATGATTGTCCTCTAGATTTAAGGTAGATTTAAGTTTTCCAACGCAATTAGTACTTATAATCTGCTTGTCGGCCAAGTTCCGCGAAGTACTTTTGGTCTGCAAGACGTCCGCTGTATCCTTACAAAGGCATTGATATAATCCTATAATATGATCCATTAGGGAAAAAGCGTGGTTTTGCGAGGTAAGGGGGAACAAAATTAGTTTAAAGTAAGAGAGTGACAAGTCCCCGCCATTCACTGCACTCGCCCAAAAAATCAGCGGCGCATGAGGTCCGCGAAGTGATTACTGGCCTTCGTAAGTGACGCATAACGACCTTGGTCCGCAGCACATTCCGATTACGTGGAACCCCCTTACTGTTTCTGAACTTTCAAGAACCTTGGGCTAATAAGTTTTGTTAAGAAAACAGTCTAGTATCCGCGTCATGTATTCGACACACATCTTCTGCATGAGCTTAGTCAGCAAACAGATTATATTGATAGAGATTATATTAGTACTATTATTGTTGTCATTCCTCATTTCTCGTCGCATTGTGTGATGTATACGAAATTCATGTTGTGCCGTATGTTTCTGGCAACGATTGTTTGGTCGATTTGTGGCCGTTACTGTCAGACTGTTGACAAAGAAAGTTTTTTTCAACATGTCATTGTTTTGTACAATGTTGAGGATTTGGATCACATAAGTAAAGTTCTATCTCGACTTACATCCGATTAAGTAGCATGGCTTCGGCGAAGAGTTGTTTCCCCGAGCTTGGCTGATATTCATGTACTCGCCTTGTTTCAATAGGTCTACCAATTTTTCTACAAGTAGAAAGTTTGACTACATATAAAAAGAAAAATGGAATTTGGCTGTTGCAGATATCAAAACTTCGGTTTTCCCAGTTTCCTAATCTACAGATTTATCTGATCTCAAATCAGCTGATTAGTTTGAAAATAATTCTATTTACCTGAGCTAGTAATCTCGAAAAGAGTCTGTGGTGCAGTTTCTAACCTTTTATGTACAACGTAAGCTAAAACAAGATCTGCATTCCACGCTGATTTAATGTACATTAGTACAGTTCAGTTAAAAATGCTTTAAAATCTGTGCTAAAATACCTGTTTAAACTCATTTCTTCTGAAACTGTGTGGTTGACACAGATCAACGACAGGTATTTACTCTGTAGGAAGGTAGTTCGCACCAGTTTCAATATCGAATCCAGGCAAAGCTGTACGAATATTGAGAAATATGAGCTGGAAGTTGATTTGGTTTGGAAATAAGAACGTTTTTGAGAGTGAAAAACGCATAGTTAGAGAGATATGATGCACATATCATCATTTACACGTTGACACTATCAACTATAGGATAATTGGCTTTAAATTCTTTAGAGTGGCTGAGCTTATTGTTACCTCCAGAGTGCATACGGAGTCTAGCCAGCATTTGAAGTGTATAAATGACGAGAATTAGAGAGAATATTAGCTAGCACTTTACTGAGATGTGATGGAACCTATCTCGGCCGTATTAATTCTTACTTTTAATAACGATCAAAAATCGGTAGTATATTAATATATGCCACACGACACAGTCAGCCATGGGAAAAATTTTAATTTTGTCAGTGTCATTTTACAAGCTGTTTGTACTTTAAAATAAAACACCATTCTAGCTCTCTTTTTCGTCCCTTTATTTTTTTGCTCCTTTCCCAGAAATTTCAGCACAAAAGATATTAGATTATAGAGTGTATACAAACGACTAAGAAGATTTCTATAAAAAGAGATTTACACACATTGAATTGGCCATCAGCATATCTCTTCCTTAACACCAAACATTACAAAATCATCCATTCAAAGGCTCCTGCTGCTTTTAACTTCTGCTAAACTTGACACCGTCACTAACGGAACCGTTCATTAATGGTTTCTCTAAAAGCAATTACTGGTGATTACTTAAGATTTAATGCAAAATGGAGATACAAATTGACCCTACCTCATCTTCTAGACGGAAAAGATGTTGTGGAAAATCTTTATGAGTATGGTACTGAATGTTTCAAATTTAGCCATACCGAATCCGGATAGTACTACTAACAAACGGATTGAATGAGGAGATGTAATAGCATTGTCAATAGCGGATATGGAAAACTAAAAGCAATGAAGCTCAGTCTATCGGATAAAGAATGTTTTATCGGCTTATTCATCAAAGCCCCTGTGATGGTCTACCGCCTCGTCGTGGAG